CTTTGACAAGCACTGTGGCAATTGGACAATTAAAACAGACTTTCAAGGGTGGGGGGGAAGAACAACAAACTGGGGAGGAGGGTAGAGAAAACAATGCAACAATGAATGAATGAAAACCCAAAATCTCTGTAAATGTTCATTAAAATTAATAAAATTTAATTAATTAAAAAAATGTGATTCAAGAGATAGCCAAAGCCTAAATCTTCACTCAAGTGTTAACATTTTATGTATGTACATGTTATTTTGTCATGAAAATATCTGTATGTCAAAAGAACTGATACCTTTGAATTGTGATAATGTGTGTATTCAGAGTACTGAATATTCCGTGTTGTTGTATTTGTGTCCTGTCATATGGGAACCTGGTCATAGCAATCCTCCAGTAGGTTTTCAGAGGCAGTGAATTGCATAGGAGGAGATTTCCCAGTCCTTCTCCCATGAAATAGCTGGTGGATTCAAACCGTGTGCCTTTGTGATTGCAGTGCAACTTCTTAACACTAGGCCACCACAGCTCCCTGTATATTCCATAGACTGACAAAATAACAAGGCTTGGAGAAAGTGCAACCAGAATCCTCCATTCTCTTACAGGCAACTTGATGTTACTTTGGGCATATTGTCCAAAGGAGGGATCAGGACATACAAAGAGACATCAAGCTGGGGAAGATAGAGGATCAGAGAAAGAAAGGAAGGCCCTCAACAAGGCGGACTGACACAGTGACTGTAACAATGGGCTCTAACATGTCAGAGATCCTGAGGATGGTACAGAATAGGACAAGATTCAGATCTGATGTATATGAGTTTTAGTAGACAGAACTCTAACGACAAGCACATTATTCAACTATCTCTACTGTAACAAAAAAAAGTAGGAAGCAGTACTATTACATTTTTAATTCTAGCTAGCTGAGCCATGATTTACTATGGTGTTATGGTTCAGAAGTGGCAAACTTTGGGAGAAGGATGGATACAAGCTCTGTGTAACTCAAAAAAGAAAATTAAGTCTTTAATAATGCTCAGAGTATCCTCATTCTACAACAGTGGCACCATATAGTATTTGTCCTTTTGTGACTGAGATATTGACATCAGGGTGGGGAGAAAACTAAGAAAAACTGGATAAATTATGTATATACTGCATTGAAGCCGATGAGGGAGAGAACAGTTTAAAAGTAATATATTTTAGGGCATTATGATTATCAGAAGAGTTCGGAATGAGGGTTGCAGAGTGGACTATACTCAGGGTGAGGGTGGGAAGGTACAGGGGGATTGTATACCAATGAAGGGGTTTTTCTTTTGCTTTTATAGAAGAGCAAACTGGGGTTGGGGGTGAAGTGAGCAGGGAAAAAAGTGTGACAATGAATGAATTGAAATCTACAATCTCTGTAAATATTCATTGAAATTAATAATAGAAAAAAAATAATGCTCAGATTATCCAGAACATAAATATATTACACATAACTTGTACATTTATCTACATATTAACTAAAATAAAGATTCAAATAGCATTAAATTTAATAGCATTATCAAGGAATTTTATTTTAAAAATTGAAATTACCAATTCTTAAAACATTATGATCATAGCAAATTAACAATGTTGATTTTATAAATGAAATGAGAAATTTACATATAAAGTCTATGATATAATTTTATTGACAAAATTCAAGATTAAAGACTTTAAGGTGGGAAAATACCATTTTAACAAATAAAATATGTTAATGCCCATAAATTAGGACAGAATGGTTTCCTTTTCCTTTGTGTCATCATCTGTCCTAATTTATTTTCAGAGATGTAGTATAGTGACAATTCAGTGAGAACTTACACAATCTGAGTCACTTTGGTTTCTGCTGAAATGCTCAATAAGGCTTTTAAAGAAAGGTTGCATACAAAATTAGGTTGGATGTCTGATATATTAGAAGATGAATTAACAAACAAATAAAATTAGTTGAAGTGTATGGTTATAGACAATTTGCCATTTTTTTCCTGTCTTGGCAAAATAAAAATGTTTTATTCCTATTTATTATGTTAATAAGAAAGCTCAATCAGAACTACTTTGCTTAGGATGGAAAAAAATAGGTTCAAACATTTGAAAACAGAGTTTCAAATGCATATAAAGAATTACACAAAATAGAAGTTTTTAATATTTGAGATATTTTACTATTACATTTAAAATAATTAAGTTCCTCTTTCGAGAAATAATACACTTGTGCTAAAATGTCATGAAGTTTCAAGTAATTATCACAAGAAACTATTTTTAATTTGCTTTTAGGTAAAAGTTTTTAGAAAATAAGAATTTTTTAATTGAAAAAAATAGATTCCAGTGATTTGAATACAGTTATATATTCTCATACCCCTGAAAAGAAAAAAAAAAATCCAGTTAATATACCCATCTGCTACACTGGGTTTTGTACTTATTGACATAAAATGTAAAATGCAAATCGGGTCAATAAAAAAAAAAACAACTTTCAATGTGAACAGTTGACTTACATCCAGTACCTGCTATCAGTAATTTTTTCCTCTCACTTTTGTTAGCAACTTGATTTAGAATACAACTTAGCAAGCATGGATTTCACTAGCATTCTTTTATACCTGTAAAGCCATCTCTGATCTCCCAAGTCTCTTCTGGCAGGGAGATAGGATGTTCTATCTGTCAGCATAAAGGGTAAGGTCTTAGTTTTTTAAAAAAAAAGTTGAAATTTCTGTTGTATTTTAAGTCATAGCAGTCTCTCTTAATTTCCCAGTGAATTACATGATTTATTTTCCCTTCTGACAAGAAAGATGGCTTTTTTTTAAAATGACATTTTAAACTTCTGCCTAATGTGTAAAAATGTAAAAATGTCACCTGAATCCTAGTAACAGAACAAATGAGTCCTTTCCCGGAGATGAAAAATATCAGAAATTTTATTCTTAATACAGTATCTGTAAAAAAGAAAGTAACCTGAAATGGATAATTTTTCAAATTACAATGCAGACTAAAACTTCCATGGAAAATGAAATTTACATTTTATACTGTTAACGGAATTGTGTATAGGAGTGGTGAACTGATTTTTTTGGACCACTCACCATTAACTTTGGGGAAAATGTTACTTTATTATAAAATAAAGGTAAATATGGATCATTACTCCTCTGTTACCGAAGATTTTCTGGATTTGAGAACAAGGTCTTTAATGGACGAGGAAAGTTCCTGAAGCTCTTTACGAGTGGTGTCGGTGCTATCTTCTTGTTCTTTGCCTAGTTCATTATTCATGAGATCGTCACCCTGCCCAGTCTTTTTATTCTGATTAACCAGCTGTTTTACAACCAGACCTTGATACTTTACCAAAAGAGTATGCTGATCCTGGGAATAGAAAATAGAGATGAAGAGTTAACAAATATGACTTAATTTGCTGAAGATTATTAAAGTAGCATTTGGTCAACCAATATACACTGAAGGTTCTTTTCTTTATAAAACATTGATTTTGTACTTAGAAAGCTTATCTGACAAGACTTGTGCTTTCACAGACAGCACTGTTTAGGAGATATAACATGAATACAGGTTCCTTAATATTAGTTGACTTGGCTATGTTCTAGCACTGTAAACAGTTAAAGTGGTATGGATATTCAAAAGTCAAATTACTTCTAGCTATAGTGATTCTCAAAATATTATGTGTAGGCAAGACTTCAGAGGTGCTTCTTGAGGTAACAGTAAGTTAAACCTGAAAAAGCTGATAAGAGGAAAGGAAAGATCTGACATTCTGTGTCTTCTCATAGGCTTAATTTTCAATTTCAGAATATTCTTTACTATGTATGTCCTGTATCTTACAGGATCCTGACAGATTTGTGAGCTATGCTGAGGTTTTAAAAATCAATCCTCTAATTCTATTGTTGGCATTCTTAGAGACACTATTCACAGCGATTCCCGACTACCCACACAATATAATCAGTATCTAAAGCTTAAGTTTCAAGTGTACTGACAATGAGGTACCTCTGGAATTTTGTGGTTAAGAAAAGCAATGATTTGCGGAACACATCTTCCAGGTGCATGAAGCATGCTGTGAGTTGAGAACTGAAATAATAGGACTGATGTGAGGTGCAAAATAAGAGCAGGATCCTCTGTGACTTTCAGCTGTTCTGCAAGTGCTTGCCGATGCTGGAACATTATCTGTCTAAACAAAAGAAGATTCAGTATTAGAACGTAAGATCAGGATTAACAAGTTCTCAACAACTCCAAATCTATTTTCTTTACTACAATTATCTACTTTCATAAACACTGTAAGGGACATTTGAAATATGGACACAGATACCTAATTAAAAATTTCATGGGCAGGCTAATATGTGAGAAATGGATTGACAAAACAACAGAACAAAGACATTCAAAGTAGGTTTTGTATTCTGAGTTGTTGGGGTTGAACTATGTCTGTATTGATTTAGGACTCAAATCTACCAGATCTGTGGAAGAAAGGTGAGCAGTCTCCTGTGTGATTTACAGCTCCTGAAAAACTGCTCCAGGGTCTACTGAGTCTATTTCATCTTGACAGCAAATAACACTACCATAAAGTAGGGAGAAGGTCAAAATATCAGCAGTCAAAGCCAGGCCAGGTGCCAACTGTGGAAATTATTCATGTGCAAGTTCAAACTGAAGTTCAAGAAAATGCAAACAAGTTCACAAGAACTAAACTACAACCTTAGGTCAATCCCATTTGATTTTAAAAACCGTCTCAAGAATCGGATTGAGGGACTGAACACTAATGATTGAAGACCAGTTGAGTTGTGGGATGACATCAGGAATATAATCCATGAAGAAAGCAAAAGTCATTATAAAAGTAGGTGAGAAAGAAAAGACCAAAATGGATGTCAGATGAAACTCTGAAAATTGTACTAGAATATTGAGAGGCCAAGACAAAGGGAAGAAATGCTGAAGTAAAAACGATGAACATAAGATTTCAGAAGGCAGCTGAAGAAGACAAAGCAAAGTACAGCAAAATGTGCAAAGAGCTAGAGTTAGAAAATAAACAAAACAAAACAAAACACCTCACTGGCATTTCTTAAGCAGAAAGAACTGAAAAACAAATTCAAGCCTCAAGTTGCAAAACTGAAAGACTGTATGGGCAAAATCTTGAATGATGCACGAAGCATTAAAAGTAGAAGGCAGCTCTTTTCCGGTTACTGTGGCGCTAGGAACTATGAGCAGCAAAGTCTCTCGTGACACCCTCTACGAGGCGGTGCGGGAAGTCCTGCACGGGAACCAGCGCAAACGCAGTAAGATTTTGGAGACAGTGGAGCTGCAGATCAGTTTGAAGAACTATGACCCTCAGAAGGACAAGCATTCCTCGGGGACCATCAGGCTTAAGTCCACCCCACGCCCCAAGTTCTCAGTGTGTGTTCTTGGGGATCAGCAGCACTGTGATGAAGCCAAGGCTGTGGATATCCCCACATGGACATCGAAGCGCTGAAAAAACTCAACAAGAATAAGAAACTGGTCAAAAAGCTGACCAAGAAGTATGATGCCTTTTTGGCCTCTGAATCCCTGATCAAGCAGATCCCAAAATCCTAGGTCCAGGGCTGAATAAGTCTGGCAAGTTCCCTTCTCTGCTGACCCACAATGAGCACATGGTGGCAAAGTAGACGGATGAGGTGAAGTCCACCATAAAATTCCAGATGAAAAAGGTCCTGTGTCTGGCAGTGGCTGTTGGCCATGTGAAGATGACAGATGATGAACTTGTTTATAACATCCACCTGGCTGTCAACTTTCTGGTTTCACTGCTAAAGAACTGGCAGAACGTTCGGGCTTTGTACATCAAGAGCACCATGGACAAGTCCCAGCGTCTGTACTAAAATACAGCTTAATAAATCTTACTGTTAATACAAAAAAAAAAAAAAAAAGGTAGAAGGCATACACATGGTCACTTTACCAGACAGCAATACAGGACATTTTAAGAAAAAGCATATGATGAGAACTAATGCTAAGGAAGGTAGAAGTTCAAGCTTGACGAAAGATACGATACTGACAAAAAATAAACCCCTAGGATTGATAGAATACCAACTGACATGTTTCAAGAAAGAGATGTTCTTGATGTGTTCAATAGTCTATGACAAGACGTTTGGAAGATTGCTTCCTGGCCAATTGCCTGGAAGAGATGTATATATTTGTACCTATTCCCAAAAAAAGTTAATGTGGAAATTATTGAATAATATCACATACAAGCAAAATCTTGCTGAAGATAATTTTTTTTTAAGATAATTTAAAAAAATGTCTAGAACAGTATATCCACACTGAATAACTACCAGAAATTCAAGCTAGATTCAGAAACGCCTGTGGTACAAAGGATATCAGTGCTGATGTCAGATGGTTCTTGGCTGAAAGCAGAAATTATCAGAAGGATGTTTATTTGTGTTTTATTGACTATCCAAAGGCATTTGATTGTATGGAGCCTAACATTATGGCTAACATTGAGACAAACAGGAATCCCAAACCAACTGTGCTTACATGACACCTATACCAAGCCCAAAAAGCAGTTATCAGAACAGAATTAAGTAACACAGCATGGTTTAAAATTAGGAAGGCTGTGTGTCAGGGCTGTATCTATTCTCCATACCTATTAATCTGTATGCTGAACAAATCATTCAAATAGCTGGATTATATTAAGAAGAATGTGGGGCAAAGATCAGAGGAAGATTCATTAATAACCTGCACTTTGCAGATGACACAGCTTGCTGACATTGAAAAGGAATTGAAATACTTGCTGCAGAAGACTGCAGTCTACAATATGGATTTCATCTTAACATCAAAAAAACAAAGTTTCTTACCACTAGACCAATAGGCAACCTCATGATAGATGGAGAAAAGACTGTTAATGATTTCATCTTACCTGGATCCACAATTGACACCAATGGTATTCCACTGCTTGAAATATACTCACAAAAAATTAGAAATGAGATACATTTGGAGATTTGAACATTGATGTTCACAGCAGTGTTATTCACCATCACAAGATCATGGAAAGAGACCAAAAGTCTGAACACAATCAAATGGACTGAGAGATGTGGTATATTCACAGGATGTGATACTATACAGCATGCAGGAACAATGTTTTTGAAAATTACTACATAACTTGGGAGGGACTGGAGAGCATTAAGCTAAGTGAACTAACTCAGTCCCATAAGGAAAAATACTATATAAGACCATTATAGTAGAAATAGAAACATTAACTAGTAAAATGGGTAAGAGGATCTAAAAGGGGTAGAATAGGAACAGAGGGGTGAGAATGGGTAAGGAGGTTAATCATAGGGTTGTATAATTTGATGGTGGGGATGGGTGGGTAAAGGAAATGGGAAAGATCTGATGTGAAAAACAATGTATAGATATACCACAGAAAGCTCCATGGTCTAAAGTAACTAGCAACAACACTAAAAAGAACTCAACACAATGATAGCAATAAAACCTAACCTTTCAATAGTCACACTGAACGTGAATGGTTTAAACGCACCACTGAAGAGAAA